GTAGGACAGTGATGGGATCTGGTGCAGTGGTGTTTGGGGCATCGTGTGAATCAAGGGGTGGGGAATCATCGGGTATTTGCAAGGGTAAAATGATAGAGGAATCAACAGTAGGTAATCTTATTTGTTTCGCAAAAGGACAAACATCACAATGACTAGGATTGAGAACATAGATCCCATCAACAGTCTTAGCTGTCAAATTCAAACGAGTAGAAGAAACATGACCTAAACGTCTATGCCATAAATCAAAATCAATTGAAATGGATGAAAGAGCAGGACGAGTCAGTGGAGGGGCGTCAAAATAGTAGAGACCACCAAGCTGCTTTGCTGTTCCAATCATCGTCTTCTAGTACTGGTCCTAAAAAATGTACATATCATGAGAAAAAGTCATTGAGCAGGGATAGCACAAAGACATTTCATGAGACTAATGGATCTTTTCTGGACACATAAAAATAAATGCCCGGTGCAAAGTCTATAAAAAGGCTAACTGTCTCCAAGCCAATAGAGATGGATGGATACATAAACATCTAGAGGTATATACAGAGATTGAGAGACACACAGATATATATATATATATATATATATATATAGACATGTAGACATGTAAATCAACAGATTCCACAAGGCTGAAGGCCGTTCTTATGTGAAGGAAGTATCATGTATCTTACTTTTCAAACTACTACCGTTTGTAATCGATTAAATAGAGGTATCTTTCCCCTCCAATGGTTGATGAGTGAATGTAATTAACATAGTATCTGAGGAGCCTTAGAATCTTTTACCCAATTTTTTTTTTTTTAAAAAAAGCCTTGTTTAAGGCTAATCACCAAAACTGGGTGGGGTGTTTGTGCATTTTTTGAGTAACATTAGCCTATCCACGCACCGTACTCCAGAAATTTCCCTACAAATATCTCATGATATGTAAGAGTTAAGGAATTCGAAATGCCATGGAAGGACTTCTGTGGATACGCTATGTTAAAACATGGCCTTAAACCGGTCCATTTTATCTTTTAAAAAATATATTCATACATATGTTTCCGGATCTCCCTTCCCAAGAAACTTGTTGTGGAGTTTAGGTAGGGTGAATTTGAGTGAGAGGTCTTCTATGTCACAAGAGTTTCCTCCTCATATTTTTTATGGGAGTCTGTCATGTATTCTCATCCTAGCCAGAGCACTGGATAAGGTTTTCCCGTGTCCCTTTATGTTGGCCAACTTGCCCGTAGGCATTAAGTTGAGGCCTTCGCCTGACTAATCAGCAGATTTTAATAGGTGAGTCTACAACTGAGGCATTGTAAGTTGTTAGCGAGTACTTGATTCGTTGGCCCTAGTCATAGGCTAGAGTGGGGGTGACTCTCCAGGTTGGGATATGCAATTGGGCTTGTTGTGCTATAGATGTTGGCTGACTCACACTAAGATTTCGAGCGAGCTAACTTAGGCCTCTAAGCTAGGCTTGGATTTGACCCTGTATTGTAGGCTGGAGACTATACCATTGACTAGCTAAAGCATACAAGAGGACTTGAACTAAGGGGTTATCTAGGGGTTCGGCCATACCTTGACCTACCCCTCTTGTGGTGTTGTACTAGGGATAAAGGTTCCCTCCTTTGCACTATGACGCCTAGGAATATGACTAGGGGTCCTAGACCTAGACCCATACCTTTTCGTTTTGTGGTTTATCAACCCTTAGCCCTCGTAGTCCTTGAGGTTATGGAGATTCAAATGGTATGATTGTTCGATGTTGTGGATATTGTTCTCCACACGACTTTTACGCCTAGACTGGGTATTAATCACTAGTTGTTTGATAATTATTCCAGGCCTAATACCATGGCCGCTGAGGGTGGTTCTAGCAGCGCGCACCCCTTGGCTAGTGGTTCCCCACGAAGGGTTGACGGGTCACCTACCTAATATTCAGGTTTGCTAATTATGGACCCACCTACAATAGAGCCAGATTGGCTACAGGTTTAGTAGGTTCGAGGGACCCTAGACTATATCGCTTCTAGGCAGTTAGGGTGTTTGACTTATGGTTAAGGCTTAAATGAGGTGGTTGACTCTAACTAAGACTCACCACATGATGAGATTCGACTATGAGAAATTTTCTAACCTATTTAATGATAATAACACAATAAAAAACTGTTTGAAATAATTTACCCTATGTCTCTAGAGTGAAGGCTAATATGTGGGAACCTTGCTAAGAAAATTTGAAGAAGTGGCTATGTTCACAATATGCCTACATAAGTCTGAACGTACAACTTAAGAGAGAGCATCGATCTCACTATTATGGAGTGCTCTTAAGGCTGAGGATTACAGAGAGGTGCTCACCTTAAGGTTGTGCAGGTCCCAGCCGCCCTCTCCTAAAGGCTAGGTGTCCCCGCATGACTATAACACCAGTTTTCTGAAATGGTATTCTAGACAAAGCCGGCAGTTGTGTGCAATTAGTGTGGAAAAGAGCACTCATTGGTGGGTGTAAATTAATGTGGCTAAACAAGTAAATTTCACACTAGAAAGCGGGGTGGGTGTAAATTAATGTGGCTAAACAAGTAAATTTCACACTAGAAAGCGGTAAAAGATACTAGGAATGGGAATTGTAAATAGAAATCTAAACTACGATGCAAATGGAATCGAATAGATAAAGCATGAAAATGTGGACTAACAAGGAGTTAAAAGGTGAAGTAGAGAGCACCAGTGGCAAGATACATGCCTTGGAAGGGTTTTTGGGGCATGTGTTTACTACGAGAGGAAGTGCGGTGCTGAAAGAAAGACTCCTATTGCCCACCTCGTGATGCACATGACTCCCGAACCCTAATAGGATCTAGAGTGCGCTAGGGTGATTCCTAATTAATCCAAGGACTTTTCAGACATGAATCTAATGTGTCGACAGCTCAACATGCCCCGCAGTGGGTACTAAATTGTCTATAGCTGAATATTTGATGAACTGAAAGCAGATTGAACCCTGATTTTCTCAAATCTTTGTTAAGGTGTGGGGTCCTTATGAATTCCAGTCCTAATACAATTTAACCTCATAAAGAGATCAATTTTTCTATGGATCATCGGTATTGTCGGCTGTGAATCACATCTAAATAAGAAAGGAAATCAAAGCAACTGATCTAAACTAAAGAAAATGCAAAAATACTTAAAATATGCAACAAAAATAAAATATGGGTTACTTACTGACTGCCGGGATTGTTTGCTCAGAACCTGGATTAGGAACCTCAACCAAGTCAAGGTTAATAATTGAATCCATATGTTCTTTAAAGAAATGCTTCCTCCAACTTTAGATTGTATTATGAGATGAAGATTCCTATAAATTTAAGGTTTAAAGCCATGAAGAGATATAAAAGATTTTATGCTCTAATAACCATGGACTGCCAGGAAATTAGGGTACTAGGGTTAGGGTTTCTAGGGTTCCTACGGAAAACTAGGGTTTAAATGGTGAAAATGAATTTGTGCTTTCTAAACATCGCTCCTAAGTTTTCAAATGTCTAATCCCTAAAAACGTTGAAGAAAAGCTCTATTTAATGAAAAATGCTTCCAAAATGGGAGGGACCAATCTTGAGCTGACGCATGGCAGCGACACATCTTGCAGCGATAATATTTTCTTTCAAGTGATGCACTCTGCATTGCAACAGCCAATCAGATCCGGTTGACATAGATTTTCTCTCGATTTTGATTTTCCAATATTTTCTTGACATTTCTGATCAGGAATCTCGAATTTGATAGATCTTACGGTATTTTTTGCCTATTTTAGGGGATTTGGCTTTCTACACTATAGATTTTACGGTTTAGGGGATATTCGCTTGACTATCGATTTGGTATGGGCTATGTACGACACTAATGTGGTCTCTATCGATTGAATTAGGTAATGTTCCTATGCCTTAGTAAGGAACACCCATTAATGCTAGGTCATGATTTAATCGAAATAATTAAAATATTTAAAATCACAAATACATAATTTCGAAATCTTCCACTGGTTATACATTTGGAGGTTTGAAAATCAAAAGTAAGAATTAACCCATTGAGAAATCAGAAATTAATAAATAAAGAAATTAAAAATGATGAACTAATAAAAAAAAAATTAGGAAGCTGAAATTATGAATCAAGAAGTTAATAATTAATATATTATGAATTAAAAAATAAAAGAGGATAATTTTGAAGAGGGACGAGATTTTTTAAAATAAAATAATCAACACTTCTCCCTAAACAGTTTAGTGTCATGCAGTTCAGCATCCTGCAAAGGACAATAACATACAGTTTTATGTCTTGCCGAAGACAATTGAATGAGGTATGCCTTTCCTTTTAAAATAATACGGTCTTAGACATGATATACCAAACCTTTTACATCATAGATAAGAGTGGAAAGGAGTGGTAAGCCCAGCTCATCTGCAACAACGGTAGTGATTCTACTTACTCACTCAGGAGTGGGATTGAGAGAGAGAGAGCTAGGGCACATTGCTAGAGGAATGAGCTCTAGGCTGCGAAGCCCGAGAGGTTTAAGGTAGCGATTTACTCGGATGACACAATCGAGTCCACGAGTATATAGGAGACTCTTTGAAGGTTTTCTTGATTTTATTTCTTTGGTTTCTTCTGCTTCGCCGGTGTGGGAAAATGTACTATTTCTATAAACAACTTTGTAAATAAGTCATTAATCTTGACTACTACAATCATGACTTTGGAAAAAATATATTAGATTTTTAGTAATAAATGGCTTAGAATTTTATTTTTTAATTATTTTTACCATTCATTTTGACTCTTTTAAATAATAAATTTTACTTTTTAAGTCCCATTTTTTGTATATTCATGGTAGTGGCTAGTGGCATTATAGACCAGTGGAATTTTGCTGCAAACTCCATGCCTAATATGGAAATTTGGAGGACACCATAGTTCAATAAAAAAACACCAAATTTTCTTTCCAAAGCCTAAAAAATGTCCGAGACTGTCTAGGGTTTGAGTATCCTTTCCAGGTAAAACTGACGGGTTTGTTCATGTTCCAAAAAAAAGGATGCATTGCAAAAGGCTAAAAGCCGTCACAGCTACAAAAAGGTCGACTTTTACTGCAACTCTATCGAAACCCATGACCAAGCTTACTTGGGGTCAGTTCTCAACGCCACATCTGTGATTTCTGAAAGCTATTGCAGAAACAGAGCAACTGTTAGCAAGCAACCAATCGATTAGAAGGACCAAAAATTTTCCTTTGCACTATAATAAATTAAATCTCAGCCAAAGAGAATTGCCCCAAAATCCTTTCAAAAGCCCCAAAGAAAGAATGGGAAAAACATCTACAATTTAAACAATCAATCTGTGCAAACAACGAGGAGCAATCAATCTGTGCATGTGGATGGGTGAGTTTTATGCATCGGATTCTTGTTCTTCCTTCCGAGTGTCACGGGAAATGCAGTTCCAGTGCTGTTCCTCAATTCTGAGGGACATAGTCATTCTCAATGGTGGGCATTGTGCGAGTAACCGTTGCGGTGGGTGCGCGCAGATGCCCCACCATTGACACATTGAGTGCCTCCTCTTCGTATGCCCGCCTCTCCATCTCTGCGATCATCGACCGCTTCTTGAATTTCAGGAGCGCAACCAGAAGAAACCCCAGAAGGACGGTCCCCAACAACCCCCCCACGCTTGACCCAACCACCACCTTCCAAGTGCTCGACCACCCTCGTCCCCTGCTCGGCGATGGCGGTGCCATGACAACAAGCCCAACATGCCCTTCCCTCAATGTGAGGCACTCGCCTCCCCGGCTCCTGTTCAAGAACCTCATCACTCCTTGAGAGTCAAAAAACACACACATAGCAGCTTCGGCTTCTCCACCAAAGGTCACAGAGATCGGCTCCCCGGTGGCTTCCAGCTCGAGCGCTCTTGGATTGGTGGCATTGAGATCGGACGCGTCGTAGACTAAGAGGCCAACAATGGGGCTAACCAGAGTGAACCCAGTGAGGTTGAAGAATTGCGGGGAGCGGTCGCCCAGGTTTTGGCGGACAAGGACGATGCGGCGCACATAGGGTCGGATAACACCACCACGGCGGATTGAGAATTCAGAAAGATTGGCACCGTAGCGGCGCAGGCTCCCACTACGGAAGCGCACAGCAGAAGCGTCTATGCCCGACATGTTTGCAGGGAGAGGCACCGGGTGGATCAAAGCCGTCTTGGGGTGTCGGCCAAAGGCTCGGAAGGCGTAGCGTTGGAGGAGTTCATCGATGCTGGGTTGCTCCTCCTCTGCAACTAAATGGCGGAGGAATAGCACGAACACGAGGGCCCAACAGAGGAGGGCGTTGGTGGGCTTGGCCATGGATTCAGCGCTCCTCCATGAGAGCAATTCAATCAAAGGTTTTGGAATCTAATAAGTCAAGAACGAAGAAACAGAGGAATGGATAGGGAACATTTGTGGCCTCTGGTTCAGATTGAATTGAAAAAATTGGAAGAAGTGTAAGGAGAACAGAGGCAAGTCTTCACAGGAGGTCACAATTGGATAGACCGATGACGATTTCCCTTCTCTTTCTTCCTTCTTTTTTCTGCCTTTTTGCCTTTCCCTTTCTTTTCTAAGTTTTTTTGGGAAGCCAGCGGTTTGTCCTTGCAATTTTCTTCGCCTTTTTTTCCCTTTGGTTTTCACACCCTTCCGACAGGATTCAAGGACGCATTGCCCAATTATGTTTGCGCCATAGTAGTTGCGAAGAAAATATGTTCCACAAATGACATGTAATTTTCGAATAAGGATGTCACTATTTAAAAGTGAATAGTCAGTCTTCCAGTATAGAATCCTGATGGGAGAAAGAGTCTCTAATAAGGATGCGGTTTCTATAGACCCTAGCTCTAAACAATCAAAGTGGACCCTACCTTCGAATAATGTCGAGAAACATGGTTTCAATATTGTAAATCTTTGTGATAGCCTTAACATAAATTTTTACCTTTATTTATTAAGTTTAAATCTTCAAAAATAATGTAGATTGAGCAGATCCATGAAAAGTTGAAAATTTTAAAAATTGACTGTCCAAAAATGCGTTACAAATTAGACTATTTCTAAAACTTGAGATCTATTTTTTTTTTCATGTCCATGCATCTTGATGTCAAGATGATCAATTTGAAGATATTTAGACATCAAAATGATCTTTTCTAGTGAAATTTTTTATATTGGTTCTAATTTGATTGTTTAGAGCCTCGAGTCTATCTAAACTGTTGCCCTCTAATAATCACCTAACTCTCTCTCTCTAAGTTGATGAGTTAGAGAAATAAATCTAAAGTCATCAAGACTAGGTCATCTATCATCAAACAATTTTTTAGAACGGGCAGTCAATGGATGCGGTATATTACATACCGGCCGTGTATAAAAAAGTCTCCTATTTAGATAGGATGAAGTTTCTATAAGTCTTAGGTTCTAGGAAAACAAAATAAAGCCTCAACTCAAATCCTCATTTAGAAAGCACTTTCTGCCTTATAAATCTTCATGATGGCTCTAAAATCAATTTTCAATATCGATAATAATTTTTGAAACTCAAATAATCATATAGATCTTTAACATTTATTTTTAGGGCGCAATAAACAGTCTACATGATTTGTTAAAGGGTGCAGTTGGCATACAGATGCATCCGTAGCTGTAGACGCAAGGTGCACCTTTAAACTTTATCACGGTATATAATTTTGATGTAAGATGTTTTTTGGATCATCTCAAAATCTATTTTTATAGTTAATTATAAAATTTTAAATTTAAAAAATAGTTAAAATCAAGTAGATCTATAAACATATGAAAATCTTGAAAATGGATGGTATAGATAATATGTTGTAAATTGAACTATTTCTGAGACTTAAAATCTTTTTATTTTTCATGGTCATACATCTGGATGTTGAGATGATCAATCAAAGGATTTTTCAACATTAAAACAACCTTTTCCGATGGATTTTGAGGTGCATCCGTAGTTCTACATTATAAAATTGCATCCTTATATAAATTTTTTCCTTTGCTAAAATATATGCTATTTTTTAGAGTTTAAAATCCTAATTTTTTTCACAATCATAATGTTGAACTTCAAGTCCAGATGATCAATATAGAGGTATCGTAATAGGTGATATTCTTTTCCAAATGAATAATGGCCAATTTCGTTTTTTTTATTCATCGATTTTTTTGTACTTTTGGTAGGTAGAAATGATTAGCAGCGGGGCAGAAGATTGCTTTAATTGAAAGGAAGCGTGCTTAGTTGTTTGGAATGAGGGGAGGGCCCTTGCAC